TTCTATGTAGAGAAAGCAAGATCACGTATAGTGGCTGAGTTAATCCCATTTCCTATTACCTTATGTGAAAACGGTTTCTGAACTTCCGAAGACCGTTATTTTCTATTGAAAGGCCCATTCCGAGCTGCCAGCTCCTTGGGAGGTTGTTCGTGGCCCATTTGCTCCAGGAATCAGGTGGGTCTTATGCAGAGACACACGTGTCTTTCCGGTGGTTGTGTCCTTTTGTTCTTCTTTTCACAAATGACCTGACAGGTTGGCACAGGATAAATTTTAAGTTCAGGGGCAAAGCCATCAGTTGGAAGAACTAACCCTTGTTTTTATATGCAATAGATTGTAAAATGCCTCCACTGTAATATGCAGTGTCTTTTTTTGATTACGTGCTAAGTAAGGTGGAGAGGTGATGTTTTCATTTGGGGTTTGACACTGCTGTACTCCAAGCTCTGGTTTCACAGCTTTGCCTTGGGTTTTCATAGGTTTCATTTTCCATGTGGGCTGTATTTTGTGCTTGCCTTTAAAAATATAATCCAGGATTTTACATTAACATTTCTCCATTGTTATTTCAATAAACAATGAAGTAATTTTTCTGCAGAATATTTTGGAATTCATAATGTGCAAGGTAGGAGCCTTGCTTGCTGTCACAAGGGTACATTATATAACAGGGTTGATGACCTCCTCAGAGAACTACAAACTACAGTACAAGGTAGTGTATGAGTATTGGGCATTTCACTGAGTTCTGTTGGATATTTCAAAGATCAGTAACTATCAGAGAAAACTGGTCTATTGGATGGGTAGGATTTGAACAGTCCGGGAGTTGGGAAGCTCACCATACCAAGCAAAGAGAGGAATGTAAACATAGCTGCGGTTATGGCAGAGAAAGGCGTGGGGGTGTGTTGGAGAAAGTCTAGAGTGCTGGTGTGTGTGTTGGGAGGAATACCACATGGGAGCCTTGAGTGTTTGGACAAGGAATGTAGATTTTTGTTGATAGTAATTTCAGGGGCTACTGCTTTTGAGCAAAGAAATGAGGAAAAGCAGTTTGTATATAGATGGGATTGTGGATAGATCTGGACAGGAGTTTTTAGAGTCTAGCTAACTGGTTGGTGTCACCGAGAAGAGGGAGGTAACAGGTGTTAGCAGAATTGGCAAATAACTGTCAAAGTTTTAGGGTGCGGGGCTCGAGTACCATTAAGAGAATTATGGTACCTTTACCTGCAATTGGAAATCTCAAGTTATTTGAAGTCAGGTTTTAGAAATCTTGCGTGTTGCGGTTATAACGTAGAAGTGGAACCAGGTGAATATTTGGATATCCTTTCCATATTGAAGCCTTGGGCGATAGTGTTCGCTGTGATCACACAAACTTTGAGCACAAAGATGATGCTGAATGCACATCACACTGTATTTGGTAACTTACGGAGTGGGGGGGTACTTACTCCATTTTTTAAAACATGTTTTTGGTTTTCTGAATGTGACTTTTTGTAATTTGAAAAGGGTTGACTATTTGTAGTAAGAGATACAGTAGTGTACAGGAAAAAGAACTTGGATGATGTTTCTGAAATCTGTAGGAAAGTATATAGAGGGGGAAAAAATCCCTGAATTTGGACCCATGTTAGAATGCGCAGATTTTAAGGAGCAGGAAATATAAACGCCAGCAGGAGTTCACTAGTTGAGAAAAAGAAGGCGTAAGGTGTAAGTATAAAAGTTAAACTTGACTTCCTAAAGAACATTTTTAAGAAAAAGAAGTCTAAGATTAGGAACAAATATTTGCACTTTGCTTATTTTTGATGTTTTTTAAAGTAACAGAGTTGGTTTAAATATTCTTAGTACTTATCAAATTATAAAGGACATGTTCTTTCAAGATTTAAAAACTTGTTTAAACGTAGATATCACTAACTAATCTTGAAGATAATTTAGTAATTTGGTTTCTGGATATGTAGTACTACTTGAATTTGGAACTTAAAAGAAAAGGAATAAGATTTTTAAAAATAGTATGATCTGTTCTTTTGAACTCTGACTTTACAAAACCTTTCTTGGCCTTTAAGCCTAAATTGCCTTGAGACTTAATGTTCATAACTTTGAAAATATTGTATTTCCTAATTAAGGGAAAGGGGGTAACTGTTAGTACAAAAACATTCTTAAAAATGTTGCATTCAAGGGGCACCTGGGTGGCTCAGTCAGTTAAGGGTCTGCCTTTGGCTCAGGTCATGATCTTGGAGTCCTGGGATTGAGCCCTGCATGAGGCTTCCTGCCCAACGGGGAGTCCACTTCTCTTTCTCCCTCCGCCCCTTCCCCCGCTTGTGCTTGCACGCGTGCTCTCACAAATAAAATCTTAAAAAAACGTTGCACTCAAATGACCTTTCTTTCTTTTTTCTTTAGGTATATTTGTATCCAGTATTGTTCTGATCTTGTCACAACGATCACTTTTCAAGTTTTACATGTACAGTTCAGCCTTTCTCTTAGCTGCAACTTCAGTGTTGGTAAATTATTATGCTTCTTTGCACATTGACTTCTATGGTGCCTACAACACATCAGCTTTCGGAATTGAGCTGCTTCCTCGAAAAGGGCCCTCGCTGTGGATGGCACTCATCGTTCTACAGCTGACCTTAGGGATTGGATACATCACACTACTACAGATTCATTCCATCTACTCACAGTTAATTATTTTGGATCTCTTGGTTCCTGTAATAGGCTTAATCACAGAGCTGCCATTACACATCCGAGAGACTTTAGTTTTTACTTCTTCTTTGATTCTCACATTAAACACAGTGCTCGTCTTGGCAGTGAAACTTAAGTGGTTTTATTATTCTACACGGTATGTTTATCTTTTAGTGAGGCACATGTATCGAATTTACGGATTACAGTTATTAATGGAGGACACGTGGAAGAGGATTCGTTTCCCAGATATCCTGAGAGTCTTTTGGCTAACAAGAATTACAGCTCAGGCTACAGTGTTGATGTACATTTTAAGGATGGCAAATGAAACGGATTCCTTCTTTATTTCTTGGGATGATTTCTGGGACCTCATTTGCAATCTTATAATTAGTGGATGTGATTCTACACTAACTGTACTGGGCATGAGTGCTGTAATTTCCTCAATAGCCCATTACTTGGGCCTTGGAATATTGGCCTTTATTGGATCAACTGAAGAAGATGACCGGCGGCTTGGCTTTGTAGCGCCTGTTCTCTTTTTTATTTTGGCTCTTCAGACTGGTTTAAGTGGGCTGAGACCAGAAGAGAGACTTATTCGCTTAAGTAGAAACATGTGCCTTTTATTAACTGCAGTCCTGCATTTCATCCACGGAATGACAGACCCTGTATTAATGTCTCTCAGTGCCTCTCATGTGTCCTCTTTCCGTAGACATTTTCCTGTGCTCTTTGTCTCCGCTTGCCTGTTTATTCTTCCTGTTTTACTCAGTTACGTTCTTTGGCATCACTATGCACTAAATACATGGTTGTTCGCAGTGACGGCCTTTTGCGTGGAACTCTGCTTAAAAGTAATCGTTTCTCTCACTGTGTATACATTATTCATGATTGATGGCTACTATAATGTCCTTTGGGAAAAGCTTGATGATTATGTCTACTATGTTCGTTCAACAGGCAATATTATTGAATTTATATTTGGAGTAGTAATGTTTGGAAATGGGGCTTACACTATGATGTTTGAGTCAGGAAGTAAAATTCGGGCTTGTATGATGTGTCTACATGCATATTTTAACATCTACTTACAAGCCAAAAATGGCTGGAAGACATTCATGAATCGCAGGACTGCTGTTAAGAAAATTAATTCACTTCCTGAAATAAAAGGGAGCCGCTTACAAGAGATAGACGATGTGTGTGCGATCTGCTATCATGAGTTCACAACATCTGCTCGCATCACACCGTGTAATCATTATTTCCACGCACTTTGCCTTCGGAAATGGCTGTACATCCAAGATACCTGTCCAATGTGCCATCAGAAAGTGTACATCGAAGATGATATTAAGGATAATTCAAATATCTCTAACAACAACGGATTTATTGCACCCAACGAAAATCCAGAGGAAGCTGTAAGAGAAGCTGCTGCTGAATCTGACAGGGAATTGAACGAAGAGGACAGTACAGACTGTGATGATGATGCTCAAAGAGAAAGAAATGGAGTGATTCAGCACACGGGCCCAGCAGCTGAAGAACTTAATGATGATACTGATTAAAATAGCATTTACTAATCATTGAGGTTATTTGTTTAAAATTCAGTTCATCCAAAATGGAGTAATACGCTTCACTTCAGTGTGTAACCAAGCACAAAAACAGTATCCATGTTCAATCTGTGAATGGTTTTCCGTTTACTGTGATGTGCTACTGTAAATATACCTCTTTAATTACTTCTGGTCTCTTTGGTGACCTATTTAAATTTGTGTACATTATTGTACATAGAATAAAATGTTTTCACGTTTTTATGACAAAATTTGAACAAATAGCTTTTTAATAGATGCAATAATACAGTGCGTCAACTGTGCCAAAGATTCCTCAATGAAAGCATATAAAAGTATCTAACTCTGGACCGTAGTTTTTCTTTAAAATGGGTGGGAAAATGAAAATGCAGGTTAGAGGAAACCACATTAAGCCAAGGAAATAATTTGGACCAGAGGATAAAAGCTATATGTAGAGTATTTTAAAACAAAGGGGAAAACAGGCTTCCAGAAGAGAGGCTTTTTTGAAATTTGAATGTAGTGGTTGAGCTGGGTTCAAAATTCATGATTCAGAGACTGTGTAAGAGTTGAGAAACAGGCTTTTATCAACTAAACTTTGGTATAAAAACCAGAATGTGCTGTTTAATTTTGATGTAAATAAAACCAGTATATTTGTTGGCCATTCTGTTTACAGCGTTGACATAAAATTGTCCTTTCAGACTTTTGAAGAGATTACAAAATGAAATATTTGGGAGTTTTCATTGTTGTCAACTAAGACCTTAACGGATACTAAAATTCTGATCTGACTTGATGAATAAAAATGAGGGGAGGACAGTATGTAGTAATATGGAGCACCTCTTCAGACAACTTCCAGAGACTTCCTTTATTCAATCTTTCAGTAAGTTTTACCATGAAATTTTACATACATGATGGAAAATGGAAAGAACATACCAATTACATGTCAGGAAAAAATAATTTAATGGTGTTGTTATATAGCGTATTGGCTAATTCCAATGGATCCTGCTCTCTTACTGCTGACATTATCTCCAGTATTTGACTAAAAGAAAACAAAACAAAATGGTTAATTTCCAAGTATATGCTCAGTTTTAAAGGTATGCGTTTCCACGTAAAGGAAACCACTGTTCTAGCACTTTTAACATAGTAAGTTTTACAGGTACAAGGTTTTTGGCACTATGAACAGAAAAGTTTAAGTTATATTTAAAATAATTTGAGACAAATTTCTGGGGCAGCCTTGCATATAACTAGAACCAAGGTCCAGGTTCAAATAAATTTGAAAACCAGCCCATATTATGTCAACCACAACTAACAGAACTAACGCAGTGAAAATGAAGAGTTCTTTTAAACTGTGGGTCATTATGGATTCATTAATGGGTCATGATGAGCTTTCAGAAAATTGTAAGAAAAGGAATAGTACGTTGCACTTAGTAAGGGAAGTACTGTTTCATTTCTGGTGGGGGTTTATGTATGTACACGGGTGCTGAGTCATACAGTCTGCGGTATTGCGGGTACGGCAAAGTCTGAAAGCTACTGCTAAGAGATTTCGTTCCAGAAGCAGCAGGAATTTGCTGCAGCATGACCAGCACAATGACAGCAAAGTGAGAAGTTATTTATTTGGAACAGTGTGTGGTTATTGGGGTGGGGGGAGGAGAGATGCTTTCTCTTCCTGTACTTACTCCCTGCAAGAGCGAGACTAGCCCAGGTGTCAGATCTTTCATTTTCTGTTCCTCGAGTAATCAGTAGTACTGTTCTCTAGCAATACTACAGATAGATAGGTTTTTATACAGGAATTAGAAAGATCTGAAGTCCAAAGTGAACATTTAAGTATTCGTTAAGATTTTTCTCCCTGGTATGAGTTTCTTAAAAATGAACACATAAAGGAATTAGGGATTAACTGGAATCTTTTAATGATAGAATTGTAATGCAACAGCCACACTTATAGACTAAATTTTTATCTGAGTCAAAATGTGCTAAAAGCAAATACATTAGCATTTAAATGGACACGAAAGGCCCAGTTCTCTTAGTAAACTACAGAATTCTCCTCTTAACTATTCAGCTGGAACTTACCTGCATAATACTGTGTGAAATCAGTATGACTCCTGCCACCCATCTCCCTTTCAGTCCTTTTTCTATGCTGATACGTTACAGCTTAAAAAAAAAGAAAAAGAACTGCCCCTTCCCTGCTTAAAATCCTTTTTTGGGTCCTGATGAAATGTGCACTACTCAGGCTGGCATACAAGAAGCCCTCACCAGTCTGGCCTCACCCTGCCTTCCTACGCTTACCCTCACCCATGCACCCTACTTTCCGCCACACTAAACTGTTTCCCCCAGAGCGGCAAAGCCCTTCTGCCAGTCTGCCTTTGCTCAGGGTGTTTGTCTTAGTCTGGCACGAGGCCCATTTGTACCCTATGACCAGGTGAAGTGTCACCTTAGTTAAGCTATTTCTCCTTAAGGCAGGCAGCTGCCGTCCCAGGGTCCTCGTCCTATGTTCATACTTCTGTAAGGCCACGAGCCTCTTGGATTATACTGTCTGCTTATTTGCTCCAGGAGGGCAAAGATCCCTGGCAGAAGGTACGGAGTCATCTGGTGGATGGATGCAGGGCAGGGAACGTCCTGATTCTTCCAGGCAGCCTCAGTAACTAACCTGGACCTTTCCTGACATGCAGGACCTTCAAACTGTATTTTAAGGAACTTAAAAAGGGAGGAAAGATCTCTATAAAAATAATTAAAACATAAAATTGTTAATAGATGGGCTTGATAAAGAGGACTTTGTAAGTAGGAATTAGGAATTAGCATTAGACTAGAGGCATGTGTGTTCTGAAATGTGATTTAAAAACTGTCTGTTCTGGCTTTCCCGAGCTCCCACCGCCTCAGCTGTAGTCATGACTGCAGATGAGACTCGAGCTTTCTTGGATCTCACCAGTCTGCACTGGAAGACCCTTAGAATTTTGTTTTGCAAATGTCACTAGAGTCAAGAGCTATATTGTCCTTAACATTAAGGCAGTACAGAAAACTGGCTTGGATACACTGCTGGCAAATACTTCCTCTGAGTGGCTACTAGAAAAATACCAGTTTCTTGTCTCTAGTGTCCTATTAAATCTCTATAAAGTATGATTCAGTAATAATTGTCTTCTGTCTGAATTTGCAACTACCTACATCTCATAAAAGGTACAAGTGATTCTTTACTAATCAGAACTTAAATAAATTCCTCAGCCTATGGGTTTTAAAACATTCAGCTTTAAAATCTTTGCCAACACTGGCATGTTAATATAAAGGAAAATCTTTCCAGTATTATTTTTATAGAATAAATCTTCAGTTCTCTGCCTGCTGAATTTTAGAGCTGACTTACCTAATACTCGTATCGGTTCAAAACTACTAAAAAAATGCATATGGAAGGAATTATTATAATCTGAAAGTAACTGTTCAATTGCCTGAAGGAGTAAACCACAAGAGACTGACAGAATAGCGATTTAAATGATCTGCTTACGCGAACAGAAACTGGATGATGAGTGCGTGAACGCAAGAACTCACCCTGTAAGTTACAAGCTCTACAGCTCAGCAACAGCCCCTCTCCACGCACTATATATGTTATAATTAAAAACATGATGCTGAATTGCTGCTTGCCCCACCCCCCCTTTTGGGTTAAAAAAAGGAAATCTTTCTATAACCTGACCTCCTTGTTCAGAGGCTTCAAGAAATGTGTTAATACTTAAGTTTTTTCAGGTTGTCCAATCGTTTAAAATATACAAAAAGGTCTCCTGCTGAGAGTGCATTTGTATAACCATAAGCAAGGAAGCTGTGGGAGAATCCTTCCCCTTTCCTACAAAATGACAAATGACCAAGATCACATAAAGTTTTCACTCCTGTAACAAAACCACTCGTAATGAACTGAGAGGTGCAGAGGATGAGGAGAGAGGAGCCTCGGTGGAGCAATCCGGTGCGGAGCCTTCTGCGTCGCTGCAGTAAATCAGTGGCTTTTGATCTTAACTTCATTCGGACGTCACCAACTTCTCAGTCCCTTGAGTTCATTTTGTAAATGGCATTTGGTGGTTGACTTGAATATTCTGAAGACTGTGAAAACCAAATACTTACATTATATGGCAGGGTTCATTCCTGTCTTTTAAGCAGTGCCCATTTTCCCACTTCTTTTTGGTAGGAAATGAAGTTTTTATGTATTTTGATCCAGCATGTGTACTTTTCACTCCACACCAAGGTGCGTCTAGAGTTAAGCAAAGAAGTGTCTTAACGAGGTTTATCTTTGAAATCACTGGTCTCTTAATAAACATTATCAAACAAATATGTAAATTCTAAAATGTTTAAGTCATGATTCAGCTTAAAAATGGTAAAAAGCAAAAACAATTCTAAGCACAAGATTAAATCTTGAACTGTACAAATTTTTAAATGCCTTTAAAAAATATTTAAAGCTTTTTAAGACTCACTTTCATAATATATTTTTCTGCTAATATTACTGTTGGTGTATGGCATACTTTAAAAAAAGAAAGCCAGAAGAAATACAAATTTTAACCTGGAAACATTTAGGTTAGGCCTCTATTTGCCTCTACTGAATGTGAAAGAGTGGCTTTAAATACTGGGACTGGGGCACCTGGGTGGCTCAGTTGGTTAAGCATTTGCCTTCAGCCCAGGTCATGGTCCTGCAGTCTTGGGATCCAGCCCCACATCAGGCTCCCTGCTCAGCTAAGCGAGTCTGCTTCTCCCTCTGACACTCCTCCCTGCTTGTGTTCTCTCTCTCAACTAAATAAAATCTTAAAAAAAAAAAAAAAAAAAAAAAATCCTGGGATTATTCACTTACCTCTTTAATAAAGAATAAGAATTCACACATTTTATAAGCACTGTACTTTCAATAAGATCATTTCATTTTCATGACTCTCCAAGGAAATAAACCTGATGGTTAGGCTTGACTTTACTAAAAAAGCCCATATATGTAAGTAAAGCCTTGAATTAGGTAAAATGTTTAGCTTCTAACTTTTATTAAGAGGGAACAGATTTCTAAAATTCCTTGACTAAACCAGTTTGATTTAAATTCTTGTACTTTATGTGAAAGTACTGTAAAATTACGCCATTACAAAGACAACGCTATAAAAAAAATTCCGAAGTTTGTGAAACCCCAAGTGGGGTACTTCATTAAGACTACTTGTTTAATAAAATACACATAATTACAACCTTCTTAGTTACATATTTAATATTCCTTTTTTAAGTGCTTAGGCTTAATCAAACTTCTAAAATTGAAAATCTTGTTGCAAAAACACTTTTCTATCAATTGATGAAAAACCCCGAAGGTTTTCTGTAAAGTACAGTCGTTGAGGCTATGAATTAACTGTTTTAAAATATTTAACTTTTGTCTAGCTCTGTTTTGATATGGTTTGATATGAAAAAGTTCTAAAAGCATAAACTTACCTGTTTCAATCATTAATTTTTCACTAGGTATTGACTTCAGAACTTCCAAATTAGCCTCGGTTTTCAGTGAGCTTAAAAAAAAGTCATGTATTTAGTCAAGTTTTTTTTCAAATTACAAACTTATCTAAAACAGATTATAAAACCTAAAGTCCACAAACAAAACTCTGGTTGGCTACAATGGCAATATACACATTTCCATCCTTACAGGATCTAGATTAAGATCTATTCCAACCACACACTGCCTTTAATAGGAGCAATTTTTTGTGTTTATCAGCTGACTGTTCATTAACTTTCTGAGTCAGCCTGTGTAAAAACTCGTTTGCTCCCCTGGGTAATTTGCATAACTCAGGCTCAAATGTGGAGTTGGAAGGTATGGCCAGTTTTGCAACTACTGCTAGGAAGGAATCAAAGTTAATGTTTCACTAATCAGCAAAAGAATCCTCACAAATGATGAAAATCACAGTCACAGAACTAAGAGTATTTAACAAGGCATGAAAATAAAAACCTCGTTAGGAGATGTCCTTCTCCCCACATATGGAAACAGGATCTTCCATTACTCTTGACGTTCTGAAACTTATGTGAGACTTTTTTCATTCACTTAGGGGAATTAAAACCCCTCCAATTTAGACCCCTCCCCCCAATTCTGGGAAAAAATTATGGGAAAAGGAATTTTCCTTTTGTTTTCTCATCTCATTCTGAGACTTGTATTCATCAGTTTTACAACTCCTGAACTGATCTGCTAAGGCCCTGTTTCTTTTACCCTTTCCTGGGAAATTAACTTTCATTTCCTTAACTTTCAATTTCAGAGCTTGAGACAGAGTAGATTATTGGTCCCAGTTCTTCTTTCCTTTCATAGAAATGTATCTGCACCATTGCCATGGTTTCATAGTAGGAAGGAGGAGGTTGAATCTGGTCATGGCCTCAAGACTTGCTTTGACTGGATGACAGAGTTAGAGGCTTGAAAACTCCCTTTAAAATTTTGATGGCACTTCTGTGATCTGAAAGTAGCATGCACTAACTAGCCCTTACCTCCTCCACCTGGGCACCCAGAATGAAAACCCAGCTCAGATCTGAATTCAACATGTGACTGTGGCCAAGAGATCTTCCTATCAGTCAGTCAACCCTCAGCTGATCCTAAGACCCAGGAGGATGAAAAAATGCTTACGATAATATGCCACCGAGTTTTAGGATGGTTTGCTATATAATGTGATGATGATTAATACTGTCCTTATGTTTTAAATTTTAGCATATATTTAAGTTTTTATTATGAGACATTAAAATATATGTAAAACTAGAATACAGAACCCCCATGTATTCATTACTCGGCCCCGATCTATTATCAATTCCTGGCTGATACTATCCTATCAACTCATCCCAAACCTTTCCTGTATTATCTTGAAGGAAATTCAAAATGTATAGTTTCAACATTCTAGCATTTATTTCAGAAGATATTTCAGCATGTATCTCTAAGCATGAAGTTTCCTTTTAATGTAACCACAATACTATTAAGCATGTCTAAGAAAACCCTATTTTATCATCATCTATCCAATATTCAAATTGTCTCAGTGTCCTACATTCTTTTATTTTTTTAATTTATTTGACAGACAGAGATCACAAGTAGGCAGAGAGGCAGGCAGAGAGAGAGGAAGGAAAGCAGGCTACCTGCTGAGCAGAGAGCCTGATGTGGGGCTCGATCCCAGGACTCTGGGATCATGACCTGAGCCGAAAGCAGAGGCTTTAACCCACTGAGCCACCCAGGCGCCCCTGTCCTACATTCTTTAAGTTTGTGTGACTGAGGATCCAAATGAGGGCCACATACTGCAACTGGTCAGTGTTCTAAATCTCAACCTCTTCAGTTTTCCTGAGTATCTTTTTCTTTTTTTCTTTTTTTTTTTTTTTAAGATTTTATTTATTTGACGGAGAGATCACAAGCAGGCAGAGCGGCAGGCAGAGAGAGAGGGGGAAGCAGGCTCCCCGCTGAGCAGAGAGCCCGATGCGGGGCTCAATCCCAGGACCCTGAGATCATGACCTGAGCCGAAGGCAGAGGCTTAACCCACTGAGCTACTCAGGCTCCCCTAAATCTCTTTTTTCTTTAAAATATTGTTGGAGAAACCCAGTTGTTTGCCCTGAAGAGTTTCCCAGTCTTGATTTCCTCTGTGTTCATCTGGATTTGTATCTGGGCTCTGTATTCTGTTCCACTGACCTAGGTGTCTAGTAATAACTGTACTACTATCAGTTTGTCCCTTTATGTCTGTTAATGAACTCTGTATATTTAGATGCTATCTTGAGTGCAGATATCTATAATTATTCTATCTCCTTGTTGGATCCCTTTATCATTACGCAATGCCCTTGCCTCTTGTTACAGCATACTTTAAAACAAAGACTGTATCATTTAAGCATTGCTACTAAAGCTTTTGTTGCTGCTGCTGCCGCTTCTGTTCACATAAACTATCATTTTCCTCATACCTTCAGTCTGCGTGTATCTTTAGGCCTGAAGTGATTCTCTCATAGGCAGCATATATTAGTTTTTTGTTTTGTTTTGTTTCCTTATAGATTGTCATCCCACACTTTTTGATTGGAGTATTTAATCCATTTACGTTTAATGTAACTATTGATAGGAAATTGTTTTCTGGTCGCTTTTGTAGTTCTTCCTTCTCATGTTCTCTCTGCGCTTGTGGTCTGATGGCTTTCTTTAGTGTTATGCTTGGATTCCTTTCTCTTTACTTTTTGTGTATCTATTATAGGTTTTCAGTTTATGGTTACCGTGAGGTTCATATACAACACCCTGTGTTTACAGCGGTCTGTTTTGAGCTGATGTTCCTTTTAAGTTTGAACACATTCTAAAAGCACTGCATCATTCCCTTTCCAGGTTGAAAAACCCTCTCTCGCTTTGAATTCTAAATGAGAACCTTGCCAGGCACAGTATTCTTCATTGTAGGCTTTTTCTTTTCAGCACTTTGAATATATCATCACACCTCTCCCTTCTGGCCTGCAAAGTTGTAGCTAAAAAAAAATCAGCGGATAGCATTAGGGGGGTTCCCTTTTGTATATAATTAGTTTCTTTTCTCTTACTGCTTTAAAGACTCTTCAATTTTTCACCTTTTTATTATGTGTCTTGGTGTAGACTTCATTGGGTTCATCTTGTTTGGATGCTTCCTAGACCTCTATTTCTCCCACAGGTTAGGAAAAGTTTCTTCAGATTTTCTGCCCCCCCTCTTCTCCTTCTAGGACTTCTATAATGCGAATGTTAGCACATTTGATGTTGTCTTAGAGGTTTCTTAATCTATTCTCATTTTTAAAATGTCCCTTTCTGGGGCGCCTGGGTGGCTCAGTGGGTTAAAGCCTCTGCCTTCGGCTCAGGTCATGATCTCAGGGTCCTGGGATTGAGCCCCGCATCGGGCTCTCGGCTCGGCGGGGAGCCTGCTTCCTCCTCTCTCTCTGCCTGCCTCTCTGCTTGTGATCTCTGTCAAATAAATAAATAAAATCTTAAAAAAATAATGTCCTTTTCTGTTCAGCTTGGATGGTTTCCACTACTGTCTTCCAGGTCACCGATCTATTCTGCTGTATCCTCTAATCTGTTGTTATTTTTTACTTCAGTTATTGTATTCTTTATCTCTAATTGGTTTTTTTCTCTTTTTCTGATTTCATCCACTCCTTTAAAGTTCACTGAGCATCTTTATGACCATTACTTTGAACTCTTTATCAGGTAGATTGCTTGTCTTGGTTTTGTTTAGTTCTATTTGTGAGGTTTTGTCTTGTTCTTTCATTTGGAATAAATTTGTCTGTCTTCTCATTTTGTGGTTTTTTTTTCTTTGTATTACATCAGTTATATCTGCTGGCCTTGTATAGGAAGTATCCTGTGAGGCTAAGCAGTGTAACATCCCCACGGTCATCAGAACCAGGCACTCCAGGAGGGTCCCATGCTGTAGGCTGCTTATGCCCTCATACTGTGTATTGTAGCTGCTGTGAGCGTGCTGGTGGGCAGGGCTGTCCCCAAGCCCAGCTGGCTGAGAGGCCCTCCTGAAGTCACTACAGGCATGCTGGGTGGGGGCAGTAGTTGCTTTGTGGGTTCACTAGTCCCAAACAAGGCGACCACTGGGTGTTGCTGGGCAAGAGCCACTTTGGAAGGGGACCTGCCTCACCTGGCAGGCTGGCTGGAGTGGGTCCGACAGAGAATGCAAGGCAGGGTGAACAGTGCTACCAAGATAGTTGAGAGTGTCGGAATTGGCTCTTGTCAGCATCACGCCAGTCAGCATCACACGGCACCTGCTAGCACTCCCAGTCCCAAGAGATTTTTCTGTAGGTCCCTGCCCCTCCAGCAGCCACCCTAAAATGAGCCCATAAATCTCCTTCCTGTACAACCCCGGTACATTTTAAACTGCTGTCTCTCTGCTGGATCCTGGAGTGAGTGATAGTAGTGTGCTGGCCCTTATGAGTAGAATCTCAGTTTCTAATAGTGCCCTGGCTCTGCTGGAGTAGAGTCCTGCTGGTTATCTAAGCCAAATGTGATGGGGACCTGTCTTCCTGGTGCAGACCCCCAGGGCAGTCAGGAGTCGAGGGGGCACCTGATGTGGGGCTTGATTCCCTTCTCCTCAGGGAGGACCTCTACACCTGTGCTGTCCCTTCCTACTTGTGAGTTGACATACCACATATTTGGTTCCCTATCTTGTCTCTGCTCCTCCTCACCCTTCTCAGTGTGGCTTTTTCTTCACAGTTTGGAAGAGCTGTTCTGCAGATCAGGTCATTCTTGGAAAGAACTGCATTACATACAGTCATTGCCTGGGAGGGTCTGCGGGAGGAGGTGGGATCCTCCTCCTCCACCGTGCTCCTGGTCACGTCAACCTGAAGGAAATTTTGCCTTCTGTATTTCTTACAGGATATCTACGTTACCATCTAGAGTCTTGACCAGATTCGGGTGGGATTTTTCTTCTTCTTTTTCTACTTAGAGAGGCACACAGTATCTGGCTGTATTTTTGGGACAGGAGGCAGCCATGGATGCCCAGTGCTTAGACCTCTTCATTTACCAGGAGTTGCAGAATGTTGACAGAATTGTCAGCCCTTTATTCACTAGAATATTTGTATAAAAACTGCGGTGTCTACTATTAGGTGCCCAGTGGTAGGTGGAAGAGGGGAAAATATGCATCTTCCTGTTGAATGTGTTGATTCCCTCACTTCCTCCAAGGGTGGTATTGTTTTATAAACACATTTATTTTTAATCATTAAGGAACGCTTATGATCTTTTTCTTGTAATATTCTTGTAATATTGTTCATATTTCATGGATGTAACATCTCAGCCTTTAGTATATCAAGTCTCTTTTAAAGTTCTTTTCCCTAAATTGTTTCCTCTGGTGCTAATTTTTCTATTTATCTTGGTCTTTTTCTTTCTGTTGGTTCACTTCATTTATCTGGTGCTCCTTAATTATCAGTTATATTTAAAGAGGCTTGAGTGGCCAGTGTTGTGTTCCCTCTGCTTTTGTGAAAACAGAGGACTTTTTTACTGCCAGTTCTCTGAGTGGGGAATCTTACTGGAAGCTCCTTGTGGGACAGGCTGGGACTTGACACACAGATCTGCGATTTCATTTAAGAGTGAGAAGGGAGGGAGATAACTGTGAGGCTTCTGTTCCTCCAAATTCTCTCCTCTGGAATCAACATTAGAGTTTCCAAGCCAAGTTTCTTGGCTCTCACAATTTGGTTTGTTCAGTTTTCTTAAGAAAAGAGATTTCCCTTTGAGTAAAATGCTTGCTGCACCTGTGCTCTGTACATGGCAATGAACACAGGGGGTGACAGCTTTCTCTATGAGGTCTTGAATTACCCTAACTTAATCCTATTTGTCACTAATTCTAAACCCAAAGTCCTCTCTGTGATTCTGCGTGCCAAATTTGCTCTCACCTCCTCTGGGGCCCTTTAGTCTAACTGGTCTCTTCCAGAAACTCCAGCTTTATTTCTTTGCTTTATGTTTTTCACTTTGAATACACAGGATTTTACTTTAGAATGATTTTAGAAGGAGTGAAAGGGAAATGTGTGTCTAACTTGCCATAAATACCAGCCTTTTTATTACTGTTCTCTAGAAACAAACAAAACTCTTATTTTCAGCCAGCGTTAGCAATTGACCAATAGGAGTATTTTCAAAAATATATTGATATGCTTGATACGGGTATTAAATTTAAAACTTCCAGTTATCAAATTACTTGTATATTTTCAATCTCTTGAAATCATGTCTGACTTCGCTGTTTCTACATATACTCCATGCTTATAAAGACTGATCTAAATACAGAAATATATACTATAAAGAAATATTTTAAAATCAAAGCCAATTATATCTTTAACAAGGTTTTCCATTTAAAGGAAGGCAGCCACATAATTACATAGTCAAATCTGAAACTTTCCCATTTTCATGGAGGAAAATATTATAATTTAACCCTTAGAAAACAGACTTTATGTCACAGGCAGTATAGATTAAATTACCATAGCTCAAGAGACTCAGATTAAGACTGCAATAAATTGAATTTCAGAATAAGAATAGAAATATTGACTGATTAAATGACTGATGTTAATTCTGAATTAATACAGGAAAAAAAATCATATCATTAACTTAAAGCCAAATCTTTAAAAATTCAAGGTCATATAGAAATCTCTTAAGACAAATGTACTAAATCAAGTTGGTGAAATAAAGGCCTTCTACCCTCTTCCTTTAAAAAAGATTAAATATTTAGAGAGCAAGAGCATGAGCAGGGCAGAAGGACAGAGAGGATCTCAAGCAGACTCCGTGCTGAGTGTAAGCCTGACTTGCGGCCCAATCCCATGACCCTGAAATGACCTGAGCCGAAATCAAGAGTTGGGCGCTCGACTGACTGAACCACTTGGCCGCTCCTACTGTCTTGCTCTTAAAAATCATTTCAAAATAAGAAGGAAAGAAAAAAATCCATTTTTTTTAATGAAACTAAGAGATATTTCTGATTCCTAGTCACAAAATATACAGCAGAAAGTAAATGGTAAAATGATAAATGATCTGTTTCTGTGCTAAGGTGACTTAGGTGTAATGCGACTGTGGAGAGACACACCAAAGACAAGCAAACCAACTGACCCAAGGAAGTTCTAAGAACTGGAAGATCGGGGTCCTTAGGCTGGGATAAGGCAAGAGACTAAGTGGAGACTGTTTTAAAAGGTGGGGAACAGAAAAGACAGAAGTGTCAGATTACTTCCCAGGGAACAGGTGCAGAGATGACTACTTCTGCCCCCTACCCCTGGCCTGAGAGAGAGAAGGGGGAGAGGTTGTGCGTACAGTCTCTGGAGAAGCTAAATCGGAGACAGCGCAGCACAGAGGCGTGCAGGGGGGAAGCACGGGGTGAAAACAGAGACCAAAAGCTGACTGCTTGGTGAGCTCCTCTCTCCACCCTCATTCTGCCTCAGAACACCAGCACACTGACGAATCCCGACCCTTTCCAGCGGAGATCAGAGGATCCCAGTCTGAAGAAACTGAAGCAACCCAGAAAGAGCCTGACAGGCTGACATTTAGGAATCCCTGGTGCGGTCGGCTGGCCTGCCGGGCGATGCACTGTCTCCCCACAGAGATTCCAAAGAGCTTTTTATCTTAACTTTTTAAATACAGAGCATAAGAATTGTCTGACATTTGAAGAAAGTCATGACAGGGACTAAAACAAAGAAAAAGGAACTCAGAGGAAATAAAAGCATGATATGGCAAACAAAAAATAACGAAATCTATCTTTAGAGAGATAACAAGATGCATCTGCACCTGTCAAACCAGATAATGATAGGGAAGAGCTTTCAGATATTAGAACCAGAAGCTGAAGTTTTATTAAAAAGTTGAAAAATATTTTTGAAAGTGGGAGAAACAGAGATAGAAATTACAGGGGAAAAAACTGAGATCAGAGTATGAGCCGGGGAGGTCCAAAGAAAGAACAGGAGAAAAAAAAAAAATTCCCAGAAAGAACAGAGATGAGCTTCTAGCTGGAATGTGCCAGTAGAGAGCGCACGAACTCTGAATTGACAAACCCATTGAACACCTTTGTGAAGTCTAATAATTCCAGAGGTAAAGAACTAAAATATTCCACTGGGAGAAAACAGTAGGCCTACACCGTAAGGACTACAAATGAGGACAGCCACTGATTTACTGACATTAAGCCTAGAAATGGAGTCCTCCAAATTCTCATGGACTTAACAGAAAATTATTTCTAGTCCAGAATTTTATGCCCAGGAAAAATACCCAATAGAAGGGTTTTTGTTTTTCTTTCATTAACTATCCGGGCAATCTTTCAAAAACAAAGTAAATTCAACTGAAACATGTTCCAGCAAAACAAAACTGAATACACGGGATCAAAAAGTAAGAGTTGCGTCACAAAGCAGACACTGGTCCGAAACGGAGAAGATGGAAGGGTCAGAAACTGGGCAGATAATCTAAGGCCAGATTATCTAGGCAGTTTTCCTCATGTGGAGAAACAGGAAGGCGTTTTACAGAGCTACTGCAACGTGTGAGAAGGCTTCAGCTTTTGAAGAAAACCATAGCCTATGTTCAGCAGTCAATAATATTTACACAGACATAATAATGAAAACACTAGATGCGCATACAACCGCAAAATTCCAAACTAAGTACACTGAGAAGCCTGTGGAGGAAAGAATTCAGGCGGCAGGAAAGTGCTGGATGTAAGAACGAAGACGCTCGTACTCCTTAACGGAAACAGAAAAGACGAATTAAGAGAGAACCGCACACACTAATGCTTAGACACGTGATGATGAAGAGCTAAGTGGGTATCTCTGGGAAAGCTGACTTACAAGTGGAGAGTATGGTGGGGAGACTGTGTCTAAGTTTTTCAAAACTACTTTATAATCCATTATTCATGTATTCCTTTCCATAGTGGTTTACTGATTAAATCATTAAAATACAGAAGCAGCACCTAGGACATATAAATAAATCTGAACTCCATAGCAAATAATTTCATGGTTCTATTTCCCCGAGGAGATATTTTAGTAAAAAATAATGCAGTCAGCTAAGTGGTAGTTTTAAAGGAACGAAACCCCGGGGAGGGACAGCCCAGGGACCCAGCAGGGCCAGCTGACTACACTGGGCTTATGCAGGCTAGTGTGGTGTATCAGCAGGAAGGTCAGCGAGCATGGAGGCAGAAGACACTGGTTCTCACGCTATCAGTTACTTTAAACCGGTTTCTTAACTTCTGAGAGCCTCACTGTCTTGGCCTACAGAGATCTATGAAATGATTATGTCACAAGGGCAGACATCACTTGTGTACATGCATACACAATGCTGCAAACGTGCATGTTTTAAAGGAATAAAATGACCTGAGAACCGACTGCATTGCTAGAGAAAGCCAAGCTGTTGATCTGGATACAAAACTGTTTTCTGTAACTGCGATGCCGGGTCAGTGTACAACCTGCAAGTTTTCCGTAGGCTCTGTGACCAAAGTGGGGCTTGAACTCACCACCCCAAGATCAACAGCCGCATGCTCTACCAACTGAGCCAACCAGGTGCCCTATAACTTTCAAGTTTTAACTGAAAGGAGTAATGGAGTTTTTTACTTGCAGGAATAGCATCATTTAACTTCTCACATACGTACAGAAATTCACAGGCCAAGATCAATGTGATAAACAAATACATTTAAATCCATATCTGCAATTCGCTGTAGAACAAGGAGTCTACTTAATATAAAACAAATGTAAGGACCTACCAACCATTAAATCCTATATAGAGATCCAAGTCAACCAAGGCTGCGGCTGCTTCCTTCGTACCATCAAAGGAATGTACCTAAGGACATACAGGTAGAATTTTATTTAATTTTCCTTTAAAATCCTAAATGACACCAATAACTTTCTAAGCAGAAGTAGAGATGCATTAGGGTTTTTTGGATCAGAGCATTTCACATGCGGTGGCCCCTATGGTTTTTATTTTCAAATCCAATCTCACAATTAAAATGGGTCAACATCCCCCCTGATGTGAGGCAAGAGGGGAGAAGGCTGCCTAGAACTTCTGTCCCTGGCTGCTGATGGCTCTGCTCCAGCACTCCCGCAGCGCCGCCAGGAAGGGGACTGGCGCTGGGAGCCCCATCCTCACTGAGGCTCGAATTCATGCAAAAGCAGAAGCATGAAGTTAAAAATGTTACAAAACCATGTAAAGTGTATCTTAAAATGTTCAATTTTTATGTTATGGGCTACCTTTTTCTAGAAGAGAGATGACTTAAGAGGACAAGTTTTAAGAAGATCAATCAAGAGTTGTAAGAATGTCACTAAAAAAAAAAAAAAAACGTGAACTGTTACACAGTAATATCTCAGGAGGCAGAAAGGAGCGAGATGGTGTTCTCCTTCAAAGCTATAGGGATTAAAGCATAGTTTTTCACACTTTGAACATATTTGTGTAATCAAAACCACACTTAACGATACTTCTTTAGGGGCGCCTGGGTGGCTCAGTGGGTTAAAGGCTCTGCCTTCGGCTCAGGTCATGATCTCAGGGTCCTGGGATCAAGCCCCGCATCGGGCTCTCTGCTCAGCAGGAAGCCTGCTTCCCCCTCTCTCTCTGCCTGTTTCTCTGCCTGCTTGTGATCTCTCTGTGTCAAATATATAAAATCTTTAAAAAGCAAACAAAAAAGCATTACTTCTTTAAATACACCTACAAGTGGGGGCACCTGGGTGGTTCAGTTAGTTAAGCAGCCAACTCTTGGTTCCAATTCAAGTCGTGATCTCATGGGTCATGGGGGCAAGCCCCATATGGGACTCAGTGCAGAGTCTGCTCGGGATTCTCTCCCTCCCTCTGCCCTTCCCCTGCTGATATGTGCATGCTCTTTCAAATAAATAATAAATCTTTTTATAAAAATAAACACACACACCTAACAAGTGATGTCATTAATGCGTTCATACAGCAACCAGAGTCCCAAATCCATTACGAAAAACAGGCTTCTCAAAAACAGAACCATGTTATACAGCTGCCCAGAAGAGTTTGTTCTTCCCCTCAGCATTTGCAGCTGACTAGAAAATATATCCTCCATTAACATCAAAATAATTTTAAATAAGACTCTTCATAAACCATTTCAGAAAATTAGTTATATTTTATTCGGTGATTTTTTTTTTTTTTCCAAGTAATTCCTATACCCAGTGTGGGACTTGAACTTACAACCCCAAGATCAAGAGTCACACATTCTACCCACTGAGCCAGCCAGGCAATATCTTTTTTTGAAAAAAGTCAAACATTTAGGTTGGATTTGTTGCTGTTAAGTAAATTCTTTAGAAATAAAAAAATGGGCTAAGAGGTAGAACCATTAATCCCAAGGGCATTAATGAGAGCCTCTAAGCCTCTCTCAGTTCCCAAAGGATAAACTGCAGGGTCAGTACACTACAGATACAGAAGTGCACAGCAGTGCAGAAAACATGATCGTTAGCAGTCCGTGAGACACGAAGCAGGGCTACAAACCTGGGAGACTACAGAGGACACTCAGCAGCACAGTGCGGGCACACAGTACGACACCCACAGGGAGTAGGTACAGGAAGTGTAAGTGCCATTTCCTCTTTCCTTACTTGGACTTAGTAGGGCTGATTTTACAGAGCTGGGTAATAGCTTTTCTGCTAGAGACTAGTGAATTGCTCCTAAAATTAGAGGTGAAAATGTGTGCATCGGAGAGTTTTTCTGAGGCAGATTTTCAAAAGAACCCATAATCCAAAAAAGACTTAAAAAACACTACTTTGGATGCCTGAGCTAGGGCAGATAACGTTTATGGGAACTGACTAAAATGACCACTCAGCAGTGTTTAGAGTAGAAGCAAATTACAGAAAGGAGGGGTCTTGGATCAGAGTGGTTAACAGCAAATGAGTACAGCTGACAAGAAATTAAGAAGGCAAACCTGAAGTGAGAATTAAAATATTAAAATCAGTTTATACCCTGCTCAGAATTTCAAGTGAAAACCACTGAAGAACGGCTGATGGAAGAGGCAGAGAAAAAGACCATCACCCACGCTCCAGAAACACGAGTTCATTCACGGGGTTTTCTCGTGAACCAAACTCTGTCATTCTTGCACTTTGAACAAAATAAATGTTATTAAATCCGTGTGACTTATGTATCGCATCTGGCCCACAGATTCTAAAGTAAACACGCGTCCCTCAGTAAGAAGGGGAGGAACACTGACTGCTGATCCCTGAATTAGTTCGCAACCCGAGGAACAAGGAAGCTTCTGGGCAACTCTTCTACTTACCACTCCCCCCACACACCGGTCTCTGTGTCTCTTCATTATGTCTGTGAATTAAAAACAAACAACTGTTGGCTAATACCTTGCTTGATTTCTGCAAAATTCTTAAATTCTAAATGAGATTTTAGCTTTAACTCACCCAAAAATTCAGCATGTGAGTTCCGACAGTGAAGAAACATTGGTAATTTTGTTAGTTCTGCCAGTTCAAACTGTTTTTCAAAGTATCTGTATGATGCCCAAAAAAACGTCCTTGTTAATTCTATTTTAGTGTGAAAAAAATAACTGTTAAATATTTTTAAGTTAAAGGACTTTTATGATCTTGAGATTACAGGACAGAAGTAGTGAACTCAGACATTTAAAACACATCTGGCTTAGTCAAGGCTTTTATAACACACAACTTCCTGAAAAGGACACCTCATTTTCTGGGATTACAAAATTATTTTCAAAAATGTTGGTTAGCTTTCCATTATAACTACTGGGTAAATCAGGTAGCACTTTACTACTGATCACTAGAAATAGCTATAATGTTTATGTTTCCAGTGATGGGAGCTGTTCCTCAAATAATTACTTTTTTTTTTTTTTTTTACACATTTTATTTATTTGAGAGCGAGAGAGAGAGACAGCCAGAGAGAGCACGAGTAGGGGATGGGACAGGTAGCAGGAGAGGGAGGAGGAGGAGCAAGGAGGCTGATACAGGGCTCGGTCCCAGAACCCTAGGGTCATGACCTGACCTGGAGGCAGACACTTAACCCACTGAGCCACCCAGGTGCCCCTCAAATGATGACTTTTAAATAGGTTTTCCCACCAAACCCAGCAAATGAAGCAGATACTCCCCATCACCCGTGGGATCCCTTCCCTGCAGCATGTGTTGGAAGGGAAGAACACACCAGAAGCCTCTTGCGCCTCGAGCTGGCTGAGCACCATCAATGGAGGTCAATTCGCTGCAGCCAGGGGCCTGGCACAGCTTTATACTCAGTGTTTTCCGTGTTGTTATACAAGGAATTACTACCACTAGATGCAGGGATTTAGTAGACGAATATAAATAGCACAAAAACTGAAACATTCTATTTTTCAACGATATAAAAACTACACGATAAAATGGCAGCCGTGGGGCACCTGGGTGGCTCAGTCGGTTAAACGTCTGCCTTCAGCTCAGGTCATGATCCCAAGGTTGTGGGACTGACTCCGCATCGGGCTCCCCACTCAGTGGAAAGCCTGCTTCTCCCTCTCCTTCTGCCTGCCACTCCCCCTGCTGTGTTCTCTCTCTGTCAAATAAATACATAAAATCTTTTTTTTTTTTAAAGATTTTATGTATTTATTTGACAGAGAGAGATCACAAGTAGACAGAGAGGCAGGCAGAGAGAGAGGAGGAAGCAGGCTCCCCGCCAAGCAGAGAGCCTGACGCAGGACTCGATCCCAGGACCCCGAGATCATGACCCGAGCCGAAGGCAGAGGCTTAACCCACTGAGCCACCCAGGCGCCCCTAAATACATAAAATCTTAAAAAATAAATAAATAAAATGACATTTGTGAATATTTAGAGAGTACTTTATAAAAAGGTTTTTCAAGTGCCACATACCATTATCTCCTCTGATCCACAAAATAACCCTTGAACAGGACAAGAGCTGGTGCCAGAGGATGTACGACCTCATCCAAAATCACAACACACTCTAACAAACTTGGACCCAGAAACTGAGTGCTCGAATTCCAGGTCTCAGCCAAAATGACTAAAAGTTGTGACATTTCCAAGAAGCTTCTTCTGGTTCCACAGCATAATGAAAATAGCCAGATGTAACATGGCGCATGTTCCCGGCATTCTCACTCAGCGCGGGGCTCACTCATTCTCACTCATGGTCATGCAGCTCAAATGAAACCAGGAGTTACAGAGAGTAAGGGTCTTATTTTCCTACAGGCGTTTATCTCTAATAGGCACCTTAATTTTAGGGAATAATTTCTTGGTGTTTAGTTTAAATCTCCTTTGCTATATATTCCTCTATCTTATCCCCCTGAAATACAAGACAACCATTTTCCTGGAGTACCCACTTTGTCCTCTTGAAATGCTAAATTTTCAAATTAGACACGTAAGTGCACTTCTTAAGGAGCTTTCATAATTTTGGCGGGTTTTTTTGTCTTTATTATCCAGTGTTTAGGCTTTCAAATCACCTTTTCAGGTTCTGCTGGGCTACAGTAAGCAAAAATAATTTTAGTTAACAAAGTGCTGAAATTTCACAGGGCAGGAAACAGAAATGAAATCTTTAAAGAAAAGTCACTATTTCCATAACCTCTACAGTAACTGAAATGTCAGCAACGAAATGTGCTCCAGTCATTACGTAAACTTTACCATGGATCTGGCTTCTGGCTACACACTGCACACTCTCCGCTTCACGCTCCCCATCTACGCGGATCATTTCTTTCACACACAATTCTATGTACAAAGCTATACAACTGAGCCACAGATTTACAAAATCTAATGATCCCCTTGGGAATAAGCCTGCCCATCACAGCAGGCAAAAGTACAAATTATGAAAATAACAGATGTTCAAGCAATGTGCCTCCATTATTCTGCATATGAGAAAAGAAAGGTCCATACACTCAAGCTAGCTAGGTGTCTTAAGGAGGCCAACTATTCCTAATGACACAGACTGAGGATAACCAGGCTTGACATGAAGTACCTGTTGTCTTTAAAGAAAAAAACCCACCATCCTAACGAGAAATAGCGTAAGTTACAGGGCAGCAGAAACTGGCCCTTATCAAGAGATTTCTCTGCTTCTTTTACTGTTTTTTTTTTTTCTTAGTTCATAAATGAAAAGCGCTGTTTACCTGAGTTAGATTTGCTCATTTTAGTGAAGCTGTAATTTGCTTTTGCCTGTATTACTGCTTCTTACATTTGAGGGTCAACAATAACGGAGGACAAGGGCTTGAAAAGGTCAGCTTGCGAGAAGCTGTTAGTAATTAAGACTGAGGCAATTCCCAAAAGCCCAGAGCCTCTGGACTGGCCCATGGCAAGGACAGCCTCGCTCTCTCATCGCTGGGGTTCCCTAAATCCCCAAACGGTTCTTTTGAAATCTTGTCTGATGTTGGATTTCTTTTTCCAAAACAGACCTGCACAGTATTAACATTTTAAAGCCCCGGAAAAATCCCACAGCAAATTCTTCCCACTCAAGTGAACTGAGCTAGAAACTTGCAGCAAAAGGGGACGGAGCACGGGGCAGACACTGAACAGACAGCCCAGGCTTCAAGGGTAACCCTTCCACAGCAAAGTCCGGCTTATTCCTTATTTTCATGCCTTTTAGGTTTTTTGCTCTTTAAAAAATGCTTTTCAAAAACCCCAAAGAAAAAGATAGTCTGTATTTTCTTTAGGATGAAAATACTTCTGAGATTACCACCACAGTCGCAATTTCTGGAGCACTAACTGCGCCAAGCCTGTTACTATGATGCGCTTTACATACCGGATGTTGAGAAAGGTAGGCAGTATTATCCCCATTTCAGTGATGAGGAAACTGAGATTTACAAACAGACACACAGCCACCAAATGGCAGTTAGAGTTCAAACACAAAGCTGTCGATTCTCTGAGAATTACTCCGCACAGTTACAATCCGCCTCACTTACCAGCAGGCCTCGGTATTCTTTGGCCATTGTGTCTACTGCACATCAGTTCTGTCTTGCCTACTAATCCATCACACCATTTTCTATTTTTCCTCTTCTCATACATCTTTTTCCTGACTGCATTTTTACTTAAAACAACAACAACAAGAACACCAAATCATACTCTGGTTGTCTCAGATGGTATAAAAGAACAGCTCAAAATCGAAATTCTTCCAAGAAAAGATCCAATAGTAAAAGCCGAGTTATAGGCTTTTTCCTCTACGCTGCTCTCCAGGAATCAAAAAGACCCTTTCTCCTTATGAAAAACTCAGTGAACATTTACGGAGTACCTGCCAGGCACTGAGTACTGCGCACAGTGCTATGGGCCCGACAGCACGAGTGAGGCTGGGTATGTGCCCCCAGAGAACTCAGACACTAGTCTGTTGTGGGACAGGAAGGGGGGACAGGAATGTATTCCGGGACAATGTGAGAAATGCTGAAACAAGTACAGAGCACTGTGTGTGCAGGGAGGGAGCGTCGGCAGAGGACAGGGCGTGGGGAGGTGGGAGCAGCGTGGGGAGGGATATTTGTTTTCTTAACAACAAACCAAATGGGATTCCTACTGCTGTGGTTTTTTACTAAATCATTTGATGTTTTAGAATTTAAAATCTCAAACTGAACTACCCATCTTTTTAAAATCTGTACCATACTTTAGTTTGTCCTTAGCTTTATCTCCTCTGGAAGACGTCTAGCTCACATCGCCTCACCTTATTAGCAAAGCCTTCCCTGACTCCCCCAGAAAGTCCTTCCCCCTGCTCTCCTACACCTTGTGTTAGCATTTTCCAACCCATTTTAATTACTTATGTCCTCTCTTATCTATAAAGGCATCAGAACCAGGCCTATTCTTTGTATTACACTGAGGAGGCACTTGGTAATCATGTACTGAATGAGTGCTGAGTTTAAACACTTAGTACAGATTACTACCCCGGCACCTGGCATCTGTGTTCAAGCATAAACTACATCCTGCTATACGTATTGTTTTAAGTTCTGATCTTAAGGTAATGGTGGGAGTATCCTCAGAGCAGTGAGATAGAACTATCAATGTTTTCATTAAGACAAAAAAATTGAGTTTCAAGTATGTAGGTTGCATTTTAGAATCAGTCTGAATGCATGTGGATCAAAGTCCTACGGCCACAGGACCACTGTCACACCCCACGCCATCTGTCTGCCTCACGACATTCACTTGGCCAAACACAGACTCTAAGGTGGAGGAATTAAGATCTGTGGGCTTCACCTACCAAACTCAAGCAGCCAACTATTTTTCAATTTAAATGTGAGTATGTGAATTTTTAAGGTAAGTGAGTGACCTATAAAAATGATAGTCAAGAGAGGTTTAGGATTTAATAATCCTCCTGGTCATCAGGTGACTGTCCCGGAAAACCACAGCATCATACATCACTGAACAGCTCTGAGAGGATTTAGTCTAATGTTCTATCACCTAGATAACAAATACATTGTTTCTGAAATGCAACAAAATGCTCATTAATAGACTTAAATTAAGTCTATGAGCTAATTTTTCTTTTTGGCCTCTCACACTACCCACCGGTGTGCTGACAGGAGCTCCAACTAAAAGGTATAGGCCGTGGGTTGTAGGAAGTCTACGAAGGTTGGAAACTTTGGAGTTTTCTGAGAAACTCCCACTCTCCACATGGCTCCTGTGAAAAGACCCTCACATTCTAAGCTGACAATATCCAGAGCCCAGCAAGAGTAGGTTTTTCCTACTTTGGTGATTGATTCTATAATCTCCTTCTAATACCCCTTGCTCTCAAATCCTTTAAATTACTGCTCTTAAATCATTCCATTGGAATGGTTCCTGCATGAATACACGCATGAGAAAAAGAACAACAAAAGTCTCCATCATATAAAACTCATCCCTAACTTCTACCATTAAAATTAAGTTAGATGGTTAATCAGTTAGGAACTAGATGCTTCCATCCCTTATGAATTCCATGCAAGTATGCATGGAATTGTTTTCACTTCATTTCTGATATACAAAGGGAAAATGCTTAATCCTGATGCTTAATCCAACTACATTCTGAACAAATAAAACCTATTTTTTAAAAAATCACTCTTCTGATTTTACGATATTTACCAAAGTCAAAAAATTTCCTTACTTGAGCTGAGTATCTTTGGGACAGAACTGTAGTCGGTCGAAATCTTTAAAAGACAAAATAAATAAATAAATAACAACTCATTAACTTGTACACAACAAATCACTTTCAAAGTCACTCTAACAGGGCTGGGTTGGCACTTACCCAGTCCACACTCCCCGATTGCTACAACTTTCCCCTTATTGTTTTCAGCAAGATTTAACAACTCCGTTAAGTAAAGATCAGGGTCATTCTTTTCAAATTCATCACATCTTGTAGGATGACATCCAACTGTACTGAAAAACATATCTAGCACAAAATAATGTCTTAGGATTATTTTCAAAATACTTTTCATATTATACTTAATATGCAAAAATGATAGAACAAATAATTTCAACTGGTTCATTTTTAATAATAGCCATAAACTATTTTAACTACAAGACCTGCATATGGTTAATCATATGATAATTTTTGGAATAGCTTAACAAAGCAGGACATGAATATGAAAATTGCCTTTAACATATTGGTAAAAAGAATTAATTCAACTTTCCAAAGTTTGGTATTTACTGAGTCCTGCAGAATGGAAAATAAAACAATTTCTTGGAGAATGAAATGTCACAACCTAATTATATCTTTTATATTCACTATTCACATCACTGTCTTGTTTCATGTATTTAACATAACAAAATATATTTCTTCCCCTTAAAAAGGGTGACTTAGAGGAACGTGGGTGGCTCAGTCTTTAAGTGGCTGCCTTCGGCTCAGGTCATGATCCCAGGGTCCTGGGATGGAGCCCAAGCCCTGTATAGGGCTCCCTGCTCAGCGGGGAAGCCTGCTTCTCCCTCCCCTCGCCACTCCCCCTGCTTATATTCCCTATCTTGCTGTCTCTGTCTCTGTCAAATACATAAATAAAACAAACAAAAAGGGTGACTTAAAGAGATGGAAAGGGAATCTGTTTTTTTCTTTTTATTTTCTTAAGATTTTATTTTCTTATTTGAGAGAGAGAGAGAGAGAGAAAAAGAGAGAGCGAGCATGGAGGGAGGGGCAGAGGAAGAGGGAGAAGCTCGCTGTCCACTGAGCAGGGAGCCCAACACCAGGGCTTGATCCCAGGACCCTCGGATCATGACCTGAGCCAAAGACAGATGTATAACTGATGGAGCCACCCAGACGCCCCGGTATTTGTTTTTCCAATAAAAAATAAAGCTCACTTATTTGGAGATCATGCTAGCTGTGACTGCATGGAACACAAGTATGAAGTCAAAAAGGGCTTCTGAGTGGCTTGGCCCTGAAGCCCAGGAGAGGCCGGGAGCCTTCTTCAGCCTCTCCTGCGGATGTTTACATATAAAAGGAGGCATTAGTTTTAAAGCAGCGGGGACACAGGTATGGGAAGAGGAGTGAAGAGGGCTGACAAGGGAGCTTCAAGAACGTTTAAAAGTGTATCTCTTCAAGAATAAAAAGTATGGAAGACAAGATTCTTATATCCCCAGAGGCATCTGGGAAGGTGACTACTTTTACCTTAATCACTAAAAAAAAGTGTCAGTGGATCCTGAAGAGAAGTATGCATTTTAGAAAGATTTCCATAAAAATTAACTTTCAGTAAGTAAATCAGTATTTTGAAAAATAACATGGAATGCCTAATTCTTCAATGTCTAGCACAAGAAGCATGCATGCCAAAACCCAAAACCAAAATAAGTTATGTAAAATGAATACCAGATAAGGAGAGGTTTTCTGTAACTAGGATTTCCTTAGGAACCAATTCTAAAACTTCACAGATTTTAAATAATTGCAAAATGCATGAACATAAAGTGAGCAGAGAGATTATATATTATTACTTGTGTTCCTGGGGTCTTAAAACAATGGTCTGCATGATAAATATTTAATAAATGATCCTTCACAGTTAAAGTTTAAATAAAAAGCAACTTAAGCACATTACAACATAGAAAAATCTTACATCAGGAATATGTGAGGCTAACTGTATACCCAGTGAACTTAACTCTCATTAACCTAAAAAAATAAATAAATAAATAATCAAAATAATGGTTAAGTATGTGAGAGAGAGGGTTTAAGCAAACATCTGATACACCGGTGGGCACTCAGAACTCCTTCATTTTAATCATGTCTCATCGCAATCAGTCTGTTTTCCTGTTATTTCCACAGTCACAATCCATTGTATTGCACCTGAGGCAGTTTTTAGAAAGATTTCTTCAAAATAACTCAGCTCGTATTTCGGGTGGGTGGGGGGCTGGGGTAAAAGGAGTATGAAGATACCATTTGTTTGTGCCAGATGCAGTGCCTCTTTACTGTCCTGCAGATCTCCACCTGTAATCATGAACTGAAAAAGAAAGAAAATAAGCCTACTTGAACAGGGCATCAACAACAGTTTCCCAAACATGCCTTCTTGCTGCCTTTTTCCAGAATGCTCCTCTCTCTTTGACTATTACACACTTATCCTTCCTTTAAAATGTGGCTGAAAGGTCATCTCCTATTTCCAGTGGTCCCCGACCACCCCTCTCCACACACACAAGCATAAATACAACACAGAATTTATCACTACTACCCACTAAAATGGATTCACATGTCTTGTTTTTCCTGTTAGATCAAGAGCTCCTTAAGGACAGAGATCACATTATGAAAGACCAAATAACTAAAGACTTCTGAATTTAGAATTCTGTTCATCTAAATTGGAGATTCAGCAGTGTTTATTAATTCAACAGTTCTCCAAGTGTGGTCCCAGAACCCCCTGGTAAATGTGAGGGCAAAATTATTTTCATAATAATTCTAAGATTCTATTTGCCTTTTTCACTCTCACTCGGCCCCAAGGGTGCAAGGAGATATTCCAGAGGCTTCATGAAGGGTAATAGCACAACAGACTGACTGCAAAAACAGATACCCAAGTTCTGGAGTCTTCTATTAAGAGCCAGACATTCAAGATAGGTTTTAAAAAAAAAAAAAAGACAAAATAATTCCACTCACGTCACTACAATTTTTTGGTTTGGAAAATACTAATTTTTCATAAAAATATGCTAGTTATATAATGGTTTACTGTTAGTAGATACATACATACATATATATATATATATGTATATATATATATATATATATATAAAGATTTCATTTATTTATTTGACAGACAGAGATTACAAGGAGGCAGAGAGGCAGGCAGAGAGAGAGAGGAGGAAGCAGGCTCCCTGCTGAGCAGAGAGCCCCATGCGGGGCTTGATTCCAGGACCCTGGGATCATGACCTGAACCAAAGGCAGAGGCTTTAACCCACTGAGCCACCCAGGCATCCCTGTTAATAGATATTTTATATTCTTCTTAGTTCTAATTTTTAATATTAACAAATAAAACCCACAAAGAGAAAAGCTCTTTGGGTCTTCAGGAATATTAAAGAACGTGAATGGGTTTTGAGACCAAAAGTTTGACCATCGCTGAATTAACACATATTGAATTCTCTGTAAGGAAATGTATGGCTCCTGGCAGAAAGCAGGCTTCTAAAGACATAGCCCTCCGGGTCCCCCAGCACAAGGAGAATGTTAAAAAGAGCGATGTGTGGGTGCCGGCTACTGAGGCAGTGCTGCTGAAGCATGTGTCCTTCGAAAGAAGGGACGAACTAAGCACGCTGATGTAGATTTTTTCAAGCATCTCCCTTCAAATGCCTCACTGAGCTAAAATGAAGAATTCCTTCTAGGTACGGGCCTCAAGAGAAAGCAGGAGGAAGTGCAAAAGGTGAACAGATGTTTTCACAGAGCAACTTAAGTTTCTAATATAATAGGCACTGAGTATCTATTCAGGGAACGCCAGCCATTATTAAATGCTCAACTGCTTGTAAAACACAGGGTGTTAAGATATTTAAAAAATATTGAGAGAACATGACTGTTTACTAACACCACCTAATTCTTTAATACAAAACCAGGTGCCCTCATCTAGTACTTCAATTCTGTAAAATATTTCCTATTCAAGTCTACCTTTTATCTATAACTTTCCCAAATAGATGAAAAAATGAGGACAAGGCTAGAGGACGTAATTTCCCCTCCCAGGTCACAATGATGATACTAGGATGATGGTGACTTCCACCATAAACCTGATAGAGAAAAGGGTATTTACACAGGTACAATACCATGTGCTTTGCACTCCAGCTTTATTTAACTCTCACAACAACTCCCTTAGTTAGGCATTATTATCACTCTCGAATTATAGATGCGAAAACTGAAGCCTAGAGAGAGAAGCACCCATGTTACGAAGTTCTGAAGAACAAAGCTGGGGCTGAAACCCAGGGGTGTGCGGCCATAACTGTGCTTTTCATTACTACAACGTAACTGCAGGACACTAAGTTAGATTCCAATTAGGAACCGCATCCGAGACATCGGTGTGTACGTTTCAAATGCCAGGATTAAATTAGGAGTAAACTACTCATGGCTGACACATGAAAATTCAGGAGGCTGGTATTTCAGAGTCTGCAGGAAAGCATTTTATGAAGTGATTTACCAAGCAGGGAATGAATGCATAATGAGAAATGAATATTGGAATGTTTATCCCTTCTTATCACGGTGAACAGAGACCACAGCGCAGAGCTGGGACCGTGGAACTCAGGAGCCAGCAGGGTCCTCTCTTACTCGAGGTAATTCAACTTAGAAGCCGCAGCTACCAAGTCTCCTGACACCACACTGGGGAACTTAACCTTATGTGTGCATATGTGGGCTAGCTTGGTAATTTTTTTAAATACTAATTAAAAACAAGTATCTATTCAGAGAATTTGACACAGAGCTAATATTCATTTGCTTAGAACTCTCTTAAAAAAGTAGAATTATCCTGATAATCAAGTTAGTACTGTAAAAATTAAAGTGTCTTCTCAGTTGTTCAAAAAGGTATATTCATACTGTAAAAGCTAAACTCGGTGATGGATACAGGTCTTTCTGATGCCTGCTGAGTTCTAACAAATGCTAAATTAGGTTATAAAATTTATTAAGAGTGCATCTTGAGAAGCCTGATAATTAAAATAGGTTTTAAACACTTTTATCAAAGAGACTTTGCCATTTACCACACTTCTGCTCACATAAAGAACTAAGCATAAGGCTTGTGTCACTTAAGTTTTGATGTTTTACTTCATTTACTTACTAATATTACTTGTTGACAATACATATCCCCAAATGTCAAGCGTGGCATGAGCTCCTTCTCTTCTATTCCATAGTATCTTAACCAGAATTTAATTTTTTAAAAAACTTAACAAAAAGTTACCTTTTTAACACCAATCTGGACAGCTCTCTCTATTACATCTTGTAAATCATCTGTAAAAAGCAAACCCCACATTAAGAAAACCTGGTTAAAAAAAAATTTTCACTTACTTATCCCTTCTTGAAAGAAAATTACAAAGAAACAATTATATTTACCAGATCAATATTGAGTACACATATAATAATAATAATAAACTCAATATTGAGTACACATATAATAATAATAATAATAATAAAAAAGCAATAACCCAAAAAGAAAAGAAAAGAAACGAAACCCATATAAGGCAAACTAGATGCCTAGTTATCCATTTAATTATATTTTATTCTGTTGACCAAAGGGAGAAGAGTGACAAAAATCAGGAGATTCAAACCAAAGGTGAATTTGCTCACTATCATTTAAGTCACTTGCCTTAAGTTCGAAACTTGTTGGCACTGTATTTTTTTATATAAAAATAAAACAATCATTAAGATCGTTATTTTGGGGGGCACCTGGGTGGCTCAGTGGGTTAAAGCCTCTGCCTTCGGCTCAGGTCATGATTCCAGGGTCCTGGGATCGAGCCCCACATTGGGCTCACTGCTCAGCCGGGAGCCTGCTTCCTCCTCTCTCTCTGCCTACTTGTGATCTCTGTCTGTCAAATAAATAAATAAAATCTTTAAAAAAAAAAAAATCATTATTTTTACTTCAGCCTTTCAAAATATATCTGTCATGCCTCCCAAAGACCTCTTTGTAAATTGCAGTTAATGCTGTATTTCTGTAATTCCCATTCCCATTGAGGAAGAATAATTTTTATTTTCTCTGACAGTTTTTTGCTTTTCCCCTCAAATTTCTTGTTAAGTAATAACAAGCTTTAAGAGGCCTGAGGTAAATGGATGGCAAAAATTAAACAATTCTATCATAAAAATCCAATTAATTTCATATTTAATTGCCACAGTAAATTTAGTTAGAATCCAATTATTTCTAGAATAGCTATAAAATTTTTTAGACAAAAACTATCAAATTAGTGAACTTATACTAAGACAACTAGTTTTGCTAAATATTATAAACCAGGGTCCTACTGATACTGATGACAATAAAACTTATTTCATAAACACACACATACATACAGAGTCACAGAGCATGAAATCTATTAAGTGCTTACAAGGGCATGAAAATCAGACTATAATTTATTCAATCTTTCTTCATCTTATAAACGAAAGCAAAAACATTACCTGAACTTCTAAATGGAGGAGAAAAGATAAGTTTTGAGGAAAGGCTTACGAAAGCTAACGCTGAACTTTCTTCTGTAAAGTGGTACCTGACACTCCCAGTATTTAGAGGCTTTCACTTAGTGTCACCTAGAAGTAGTGAAATCAGCTCTGACTTCATTGTTGGAATGTGCAGTTCCACTTCACCCAGACCACAAAACCAAATTTTCATGTTTGCGTTTACATAATAACAAGTACAGTAATTTTTGAGACAATATTTATAAACCAGTTTATTGAAGAAATTCTCCTTTCAGAAACATGTTGTCACCATCACTTACTGCTTCCTTGCCTCAGCTGACGAAATACACTTTTTGAATGAACTTGTATGAGAAATACAAGCCATTTTGCTTTTGGCTAAGCTTTCCATCAACCTCTGAGAAACTACTGTCTACCCCCACCCACACCACAGGCATCTGGGCTCTGGCAGGACTTGGAGGAAAAGGGGGAAGGCAAGACAGGGAAGCTGGGCAGCAGCCCGCCTGCTCCTGACCCACTTTTGTCACTCAGCTGAAAACATTTCCAAAAGACGAGGTACTACAGTCAAGTTCAACTGCACCTGATTTTTAAATTATGCACCCTAATGTCCAATGTTTAAAAGAGTAATTAGACATCAACTGTTGTTCGGCTTTTATGCATTTCTCTATTTGAAATGATAAACTTCCTCAGAGAAGGAGGCCTTGGTAACACTGTCATTACAGGTGCTTTACGAATGCTCCTGGTTGCTATTTACCCAAGCAGCTTATTTATGTTTCCCTTTGTTTATAGTTTAAAACTATATGCATCTAAGATGCATAATAAATCCTCTTAATATTTCCCTTGTAAAGTGGATTATGCCTCATGATCTCCTGGAGGCAACTTGTCTTCATAGAAAAACTATTCATCTTAATAAAAGAAACATTTACCTTGATGCTTCTGAACTCCTCTATAAATTCCTCTGAACATGGGATCTGTCAAGTTGATACCGATATCTGTGGAAAGCAAAAATAAATGATTAAGAGCTTCTATTTTAAACTTCTATGTTAAATAAAAGCTCCTGTTACTAAATTTTTCACTCACTCAAACAAAATCTAAGTGCCTACCACTTGTCACTGTGCTAGACACCTGGGATAAAAAGATGAGTAAGACAGAATTCTACCTCTCAAGAAACCCATTAGAGAACTGGGAAGGCAGACCCATTAACAGAACGTGAAGAAATAATTTTAAGTAGACACTGGCACTGTGGGACACAGATGAGGAATACCCAATCTAGTCTGGTAGATGGCTCAGAAGTTTCCAGAAAGAAGGGATCTCTGAACTGAATCTTACAGGGTAAGTTAGAGTTACTCAGTAGAAGAGGGGAAACTGCAGACAGAGGAAGCAGGAGCAATGAATGCATCTTGAATGTGAAACGGCAGTGACTGTGGACAGCTATTGGCTGTTCTGGCTGCTGGAGAGAAATGGAGGGAAGGGAGTGCCCCGAGAAGTCCAGACCCAGCTAGGTTACAGACAGTCATCTTTAAAATACCAGCTGCAACTAGAAGCACAGACGGCTTGTAAGCAGAGGTGGTAAGATATCTCATTCTGGTATCTTTGGAGAAGGTGGGATTTGAAGGGGGGCAAATGGAGTCAGTATATCTCATCTGGAAACAGGCAAGAGCTCATATTTACACTGAGAAGAACCTGAACTGGGCTAATGTAAGTAGAAATTCAGAGAACAGAATAAATTATTTCACTATTCACCAAATACCATGAAGACCAAATCTGTGTTGTTACTACATAAGGAGTGAGGGGAAAGGACTAAGACCCAACACATGGTCCCTGCCCTCCAGGAATTCATGGTCGCTACAGGAACTACAAATACACTTTGTGATAATATGGTGGACTAAGCAACACAAGGCAAGAAGGTTTTTCTTTATTCCTATGTTCCTAAAACCCAGCATAATGGTTGCCACACAGTAGGAGCGCTAAACGTGTTAAGTCTATAAATAATTGCTACGTGCTTGGGAGCACAGAAAGGGGGCATTAACAGTTTTGGCAAAGATGACGAGACAAGCCTCCCAGCAGAGCCGGATCTTTAAGAGAGCTCAAGCTTACAAGCTGACAGACGGAAAGGGCATGGACAGCATGGACCGGTGTAGGCACCTGCTGTATCTGGGCACAGGAAGAATCGTGCCGACAGAGCAGTGGTCCTTAGTGGAGAGCCATCCTGCAGCTCCTTCTCCTTCTAACCTACCCCCCTGCACAGCACTTGGTAACGTCTGTGTTCACTTCTAGATGGCGCAGCTGAAGGGAGTCACTGGCGTCCGGGCCAGAGGCCATGAATGCTGCTGAAAACCTACAATGAACAGGACAGCTTCCCAAGAGAGGGGATTCTCGGACCCCCAACATCAACTGCCATTCTTGATAAATCCTGCTGCAGAGTGCAAGGGAACCAGGGGAGTAACAGGACATGAAGTCAGACCATACTGGCCACAGGCAACAGTAACCCCTTCCTTATGGGGCACCCGGGTAGCTCAGCCAATTGGGCGTCTGCTGTTGGCTTGAGTCGAGATCCCGGGGTCCTGGGATGGAGCCCTGCACTGGGCTCCCTGCTCAGTGGGGAGCCTGCTTCTCCCTCTCCCCCGACTTGTGCTCTTCTTGACTCTCTCGCAAATAAATACATGAAATATTTTTTTTTAAATAATAATACCTTCCTTATTTAAAATCCACACCCTTTAGCTTTAGCACTAGGAGAATCTCCAAGTTCTTGATGGCAGGGGACACCTGCCTGCCTAAAGACCCTTATGTTACTTCTGCTTACTTTCATCTTCCTCTTGGAATATTCTGATTTCTGCCAAGCTGGCCCTCAGTAACTGTGCTGCTTCCACACGAAGACAGACGTGACATGATGAATGGGAGATGGTAGGGAGAGTAGTCCAGGCATTTGGAAAAAGCAAAAGAAAGGCACAATGCAGAAAAGCTGGCAGATATTTCAGCAACAGTATATAGCCAATAGAGGATAGAAGATGAATTCACACCCCGTACCCTTTAATGGACCATTAACACACGAACACGGACTACAATCAATACAATATGGGGTCAGTGGAATGGCCCAGATCATAAGAATTCAGCATCTTTTTTTTTTTTTTCAATTAAGGTAAGGAAACTAGATAGGGCAAGAGGCAGACTGAGAAAGGGAACCCAGGGAAAAGAGGAGAGGCTTTCCTGCCTAGAAAAATCCTTCACAGGGCTCCACCTACAATCACCCACCACGGATGATGGTTAGGGGCACAGACTTAGTCTGTATTTCTTCCACTCATTTCCCGTTTGTGAAACAAAGAGGTTAGTATTTTTCCAAAACAATCTCTTTACTAGAAAATAAACTGAAAAACAAAGGAAACAAAAGCAAGCAAATTTAGCAAGTAAAATTTATGATACTTATTTTAAAAGCGAATGGAGGGATGCATGGGTGGCTCAATCAATTAAGTGTCCAACTTTTTTTTTTAAAAGGTTTTATTTATATATTTGAGAGAGAGAGAGAGAGAGCATGCAAGCAAGCATGCATAAGCGGGAAGAAGGACAGAGAGAGAAACAGACTCCTGCTGAGCAGGGAGCTTGACTTGGGGCTCAATCCCAGGACCCCGAGATCATGACCTGAGCTGAAGGCAGACGCTTAACTGACTGAGCCACCCAGGCACCCCGGGTGTCCAACTCTTGATTTTTGGCTCAGGTCCCAGTCTTAGGAGCCTGAGATCAGCTGCACCAGGCTCCACACTCATTACAGAGTCTGTTTTTCCCTGTCCCTCTCCCTCTCACCTGCCCAATCCTCACTCTCTCTCTTAAACAAATAAAATAAAATCTTTAAAAAATAATAAAATAATTTTTAAAAGGCAAATTGAAGATGAGCTTGGGGGCTCAATTTCTGAAGCCTTCCCATGTCCTTGTCTCTACCCTCCCTGGACCAGATGCGGAATCACTCTTCAGCACTTTGTACTGAGGCTGATATGGTTGAAGCCAATGCAAGGTGATACCACTGCCTCTTAGAACCCACTTCTAGATGTGGGTCAGTCCTTCAGGCCCTAAGTCACAGTGGAGTTCAAAGTCTGTATTCAGCTTTGGACCCAGGTGAGCCTTAGGCTTTAGGATATCCTACACTGGCTCAGCCACCAGTTTCTTCCCTCTGCTCCAAGAAGTCTCACTTACAGCCTTTGGCCCTTTTCTTTCGGACATATGGTTTGCTTGAAGTGTATTTCTTGGCCAGTTGTTAGAGCCGCTTTCTACCTTATGAAGAGAATGTTTCACCTTAGTCCGGTTGGGTGAAGGGGGTCAGAACATACCACCCCAATATGCCACTTTGGCATATCAGTTATTCTGAACTGAACACACTGGAAAAAGAGGAGATGCAGGCAAGCCTCTCTGCTCTCCCCCCATGGTAACTAAAAGTAGGTCATAAAATTTCCCATGAGACACACCCTCCCTATATCAAGAATGGAAGAATATTGTTATCATTGCAATATTGTTATCACCAGACTCGGAGTCAACGTCAAAACGAATCTGTACAAGCAGACCCAAATAACTCTCCTCATCTTCCGTTAGTTTCCCCATATATTTCCTTGTCATTGTCCCACAACTTAAGTCCTTTTATCAAGTTGCCACTTATGCTTTTGGGCCTAATGGCTTCTTTGAGGCTTCATTTTCCTTCTGAAGATTCCCATATCCACAAAAAATGTCTATGCTTTTCTCCTGTTAATGTCTGATGCCAGTTTAATTCTTCAACCAGCCACAGAACCTAACAGGGTAAGAGGAAGATTTCCCTCGTCTACAGAGGCAAATAAGTTCTTCTTCTGGACACTGAGTCACTCCTGTTTCTCTAAGAAGTTCTGCTCTCCTATACTGGCTGGCCTCTGGGCCTCCCACTCCCCATCCACCTACTCACCAGCAAACACCTGCAGTGTGGTTAGGATCATTAACAGGTCACTATGGATGGGTCAAAGAAAAGTTCAAACCGATCACCAGAAAGTGTAAATTTGTGAGCACGTCCCAAGAAATGCAATGAAATGGAGGAAATGCAGTTATGGAAAAAGAATGGGCTGTGGAGTCAGAATTCCCGGCACTATGATGAATAAACTGAATGATGCTGGCCAAATCAGCAGCCCTTCTGGGACTCAGTTTCCCTACTAACAGGGCATAACATTTCTCCTTCCAGGGATGAAATGTAGCTCAAACTGGAAAATCAATGTGAAAGCACTTTGCACAATAAAAGCCTTAGAAAATGTACTTCCTGTTATTACTGTGCAGCCTATACGTTCTGAACATGCCAGCACCACACAGAATTTCCATCAACATTAGCGACCATGGCATACCACCTTCAGTGGTTAACACTCTCAATTCACTATTCAGTAGCCAAAGTGAGTCCATCTTTTTATACCTAACTCATGATGCAACTATGAAAATAAAGCCACTCAAAATCCTACTCATTTAACTTGTTCAAAATGTCCTAATATAGCTATAATAAGGAATACTATCTTTCCAATTAAAAAGTTCTTACCAGAGGGGAACCTGGGTGGCTCAGTCCATTAAGCATCTGACTCTTGGTTTTGGCTCAGGTCATGATCTCAGGGTTGTGAGACTGAGCCCCACGTCGGGTTCTATGCTCAGCGCGGAGTTGGCTTAACATTCTCTTTTCCTCTCTCTCCCCCTCTCCCCCTCTGCCAGCTCAAGAGCGCTCTCTCAGATAAAATCTTTAAAAAAAAAGTTCCTATCACAAGTACTTGTGTTGTCAACAAACTAAAAAAAAAAAAAAAAAAAAAAAAAGTAAACAGTATCTAAGAATCAATTTCTAGCTTGAAATAGCTTGAAAAACTAAGATATGGGAGGAGAGTGAAGGATACAAAAAAAAGACAAAGAAGAAAAGGACTTCTGATGGGGGGGGTTGAGGGAGTCATACATTTAGTGGCGTGTCATCTTGTAAGAATCAGTGATGTTTCTTTTCCATAATTTTTCTTTAACTGGCTGGCTTTAAAAGCAGTGACTGCTTTACTGTTAAAAACCACTTCCAGTATTAATAAGTTTTATTTCTCAAAACAGAGTGGAAAACTACTTGCAACCAAAACCAAAACCACATCCCCAAACTGATGCCTCACTGGGCTCAGGGAAGCATGTCCTGTCACCGTCACCTAGGGTCTAGGGATACGAATGGACAGTAAACAGGGTACTTAAAATTATTTCAGATTTGCTTAGCCTTCAGATAGAACTTCAACTTCACAGAAAATACAGGAAATGAAAGGACAAGCTTAACACCGGCGCACAGCAATCACACAAACCCTAAAGACAGACTTCTGTGGGGCCACCAGCCAGTGCTTCCCCGAGACCGCGCCACGAGGGAAGAAATGTGCTAGATCACGGGGGTGGCAAGCTGTTGCCACCAGCAGACTGACTCCTATTTTTGTTTGATCCTGAGCTAAAAACGGTTTCACATTCCTTAATAGCTGGGGGGGGGGGGGGGGGGTCAAAAGAATAGTAGGGTTTTGTGAAACATAAAAATTATAAGAAACTCAAGTTTCTGAATCCAAAAAGTTTTGCTGGAACACAGCCACACCCATCTGTTCATATAGTGTCTATGCCTGCTCTTGAGTGACAAGATCAGAGTATTTGTGATAGTGATCATATGGTCCACAAAATAAAAAATATATACTACGTGACCCTTTAAGGAAGAAGTTGTCCAACCTTTGTGCTAGACTAGATACAAAACTTACGGGCATCCAAGTATGTGGCTCTGGACTGGATACGGTTTTGGAAACAACCACCTTCTAAAAGAAGCTCCAGAGAGACCTCTTCCTTGCCTGTTCCACCACATGAGGACACAGTGAGAAGGCAGCAGCTAGAAACCAGGAAGAGGGTCCTCACCAGGATGCAAACATGCTAGTGCCCCTGATCTCGGACTTCCCAGCCTCCAGAATTGTGAGAAATGCATTTCTTATTTCTAAGCCACCCAATCTGCAATATTCCCTTATAACAGCCCAATGGACTAAGGCAATCTAAGACATCAGCTTCTCTCTCAAGATGTACTTACCAAGCAGGTAGATTTTATCTCCCAATCTATCAAACCTGTGCACTTCTTTCCGTCTCCCCCTCTACCTTAAGATCCAGTCAACTCGGACCCCAAAGCCACTCCTTCCCCCTGCTGTTCTGTTCTTCCCCTGACCCAAGGTTTCTTTCATGCACAAATCAGATCATGACACTCTTAACCATACTCCTCATTATTAGAATAAAAACCAAAGTCCTAACACGGTAGGACCTTGGTTCTGCTAATCTCTTTAGCTCATTCTATACCATCCTCCCACCCCCTCAGTCACTTCCCCATTTCTCTCCACTACAGACCCACTGGTCATTTTTTAGTTCCTCAAAAGTATCACGTACCCTCTTGCCACAGGATGTTTGCACAGGCTGTTCCGTTTGGAACCTTCTGCCTTTCTTTGCCTACTTAATTCAATCTTTCAGAGCTCCGTCCAAGCGTCGCTTCCTCAAGGAAACCTTTTCTGACCTCCCAGACTAAGTTTTGTTCCTCACCAAATACCCAGAGAACCATGCTCCCTTTCTTCAGTCCCCTCTTCTTAGTAACTGTGGTAAAGCCATTAGTGCACTTATGAGGCTGTCTCCACCAAGAGACTGTGACCTAGCTTCTGACCACCACTGATTCCTAGTATTTGGCACACTGGATGGCACACAGTAGCGACTCAGTAAATACTTTAAAAAGAATGAATGACTAGGCTGCTTAAGGGAACTGAAGACAAGGAACAGGAAATATGATCCAATCCCTAGGGAAATGGAATTATATAAAAAAGGCAGCCAAAAGCCCCAACCAGTCTGCTTCTAGAGCCACAGGGCAGGATCAGAATCCTGTTGAAAAAAAA